TCGAAGATAGTGAGGGCAAAGAGTGCCCAAGAACCCCTTTGAATACTTGTAATCTGAAATTTTCCTATTCAATAGATTTTCCTTGTTATTTTGCCGACGATAAGATTAAAATTTTAGCAGAATTCATTCTAGTATTTTCGACTGTATGAAAAATACATAACGTTGTTTCGGTAATACATGCATAATGAGACCCAAGTGGAAATTAGGTTCACGTTTAAGGGGCAGAGAGAAGAAATGGATGTTAACACTTGTTGAAATTGAGAAAAGTTTTACAAGTATGAAGTTACCGATGTATAATGTTTAACACTTGTTGAAATTGAGAAAAAATACAAGTTGAAGTTTAAACCGAAATGAATGTTTAACACTTATTAAAACTTGAGAAAGTTTACAAGTTGAAAGTTAAACCAACAATGATGTTTAACACTTGTTGAAATGAGAAAGTTTACAAGTTGAAGTAAACCGAAATTGATGCTTAACACTTGTTTTGAAACTTGAGAAAAGTTTTACAAGTTGAAGTTAAACCGAAAATGATACTTAACACTTGTTGGAAACTGAGAAGTGTTACAAGTTGAATTAAACCAATATGATGTTTTTAACACTTGTTGAAACTTTAAAGAAAAGTTTACCAAGTTGAAGTTAAACGAAATGATGTTTAACACTTGTGAAACTTGAGAAAAGTTTCCAGTTGAAGTATAAACCGAAATTGATATTTAACACTTTATTGAACTTGAGAAAAGTTTACAAGTTGGAAGTTAACCGATTGATATTTAAAACTTGTTGAACTTAGAAAAAAAAGTTTACAAGCTAAAGTTAAAACCGAAATGATGTTTTTACACTTGTTGAACTTGAGAAAAGTTTTACAAGTTGAAATTAAACAATATATGTTTACAACAACTTGTTGACAACTTGAGAAAGGTTTTACAGTTAAGGTTAAAACCGAGATTTTGAATGTTAACACTTCGTTTGCAATTTGAGAAATTTACAAGTTGAAAACAAGGTTGCGCCAAGAAAGGTTACGGATACTTGCGAGTAAATTCGGTCAGTTGATTTAAACGAGGTATGTCACCCGAGAAGGTGCACAAGAATTGAGTTATATATTAAAGATACTGCAAATTTATTTAAGTTTATGAAAGTCATTAACAGAGCAATTTAAGGGAAGGACCAACACACAAGCATTCAAGAAAGAATGAAGTCTATATTCATTAAAGCATAGTTGGTATATAAAGAGCTTACATTGTCTTTAAAAACAAGAATAATGAAGTACAAAAGTGTTAAAAACAAAGGAAAAAGACATCAACACTAAGATTCCCCAGCATCATTAGCAGGCTGGGTCTGGATCTCGGAAGATGCTGGGGGAGGGAAACAATTTTTTTTTTCTTTTTTCAGGGCCCAAACCCCCCCCTTCTCGGCCGCAAGACACGCATTCAATCTCTTGAAGGTTTAATCAGGTCTTGTCGGGCAACGAGGCAAGTCCAATAATGCTTGCTCAGGGGTAGCTTCCTTTGGAAAACCTCCTCAAACTCCTCATGCTTGAGTAAAGTCTAGGAACTGCTTCATTTTGAGGAAGGACTTGGCCCTTAGCAACAGTCTTTTGAATTCCTCACCCAAACCTCTCTCGGACTACAGAGTCGTTGTCGGCGAGTTGGCTTGGAAGTTGGGGGGGAATGGAGGGAGGGGATCAGCGGCATTCCTGAGGGGAGGTCCTCGGGGACATCAGCCTTTTCAGAAGATCATCAGCTAAGGGTGAACCCTTTGTTGCATTGCCTGCTTCACATGGTTTTCATAGTCACACCGTGACACGGCACCTAATCATTTATTTTAAGGGGGGGCCCTTCTCGTCGACGGCCTTGACTTCGGCCTCTTTTGGATGGCCAGGGCGTCTTGATAGCTCCCTTTGGGGCTCAGGCACTTTGTACCTCGGCCTTCTTTCAACTGGGCTTGAAGGACTTTGTTTATTGCCTCAAGCAGCACCAACAATTTTCTTCGGGCATCGTCTTGCCTTTGATAGCGGACCTCGGCTTGATCCTCCAAAGTTTTCATCTTTGACTGCAGATTTTTGTTAGATCTTCTTGCAGACTAGAGACCTCTCTCTTTCTTCTCGGGCAACTTCTCCTGGGTTCTGAAAGATTGTATTGAAGAAAGAATGAGGCATGCTGGATGCCTAAATAAACAGAAAGAAAATATAAAAAATATGTAAGTATGTTAAATGAGAGGAAAGAAAGGAAAAAAAATTCCCAATTAAAAGAGACTTACCTGACCAGAGTGCTTGGAGAATCAAGGGGCATGTTCTCATATCGCTATCTCGGCATTTTCGGTCGAGATCGCGGGAAGGAGCAGAGCCGCGGGTGGAGGGTAAACAACCGAAGCTCAGCACTTACGAGCAAAAGCTATCTCTCCGCGCCGGTCCAAATGGGGGTGGAGGCATGCATGTTTTTGAGGACCGAGGTTTGCAGAAAAACCGGGTTGGATTGTGGGCATGGTGTGTGTTTCAGCAGACTTTTTCTCCGGGGGACAGAGGTAGTTCTTCTCGTTCTCAGCCAGTTTGGAATCTGGCAAGGTGTCCTCAGTTATCAACCTGAGTCACCTTTGCCTTTGAGTTAAGCCTTTTTGATTCTTTTTTGCTTTGGTGAAGCTGGGTTTGGTGTTTGAACATCAACGTCAGAAGGGATGCTGGCTAAGAGGTCTTTTGCACAGCTTTTTGGTGGCCCCATTTCAGCAACAAAAACTATTCATCGCCGTGTCTGGGTATTGGGATCAGATAAGGCCGAGGTTGGATGGCTGTCGCTGGATCAGAGGTTCGACCCTTTGATCTTACCAAGATGTTGGAGGTAGTCTGAGGACTTGTGGCGATGAGAAAGGATTGCTATTACTTCTTCTTCTTTCTTGGGGACGTCGGCGGAGAGCGATTAACGTAGGAGAAATTAGCAGTAGAGGGCCTTCGTTGTGGACCGGGCAAATTCAGTAGTTTCTTCAAGATCTTTGCTGGGGAAAGAAGACTGACGGAAGCCTTTGGTGGCTGGAGGAAGAGCTGCAAGAAAAAAGGAACATTAGAAACAAATAGAATATCGAAGACTTTGAAACAAACAAGTAATTGGACACAGGGCTCTTACCATTGCCTCTACAAAAACTGATCGAGGCGAAGAGGAGTAGGATGGAGGTCCTCGTTTGGAGCGAATTCCAGTTCCCGAGGTAAGGAAGTTATCCTCTCAAGCTCCCTTGTTGAAGTCTGGGAGGTCGGCTGACGATTTTGTATTCTGGGACTCGGCTTAGGTAGTAATATCTAGCCGGTCTTTTTGCAGGCACACATAGTTGTAGCAGTTATTGAATGTCGGCTAAGGTGATCCCTAGATTTTCATGTTTGGCTAAAGTTTAATTATACCATTTATTGACTCGGGTAAGAATTTATGGCAAGCTTGCAATTTGGGGTCAACTTTAATAATAGTGAATGGACTTCGCGAAAAAGGATATTGGTTGGAGCCGAAGCTCATGCACTCGATGAAAAGCACAACAAGAAGGGGAATGGAATCAGTGGTGGGCATGGATGGAGTGTCATTCCCCAGCCACCTTCAGATGGACGTCGCGGAGGTGTCAAATCACGCATGAAGTGATCTAATTTGCTCGGGGGTATCTACCTATTGTTTCTACATACCCATTGATATCGGCCTGAATTGGCAAGCAACTAGTTTCAGATGATGGTGTTTTAAAGGGTTATTGGGACTTCGGCCAAAAACCTAAAGTATGTGCTGGGCAAAAATTTGTGGAATATTTCAGTTGTTTCCTATAATCGAGGTTTCTACAAGCAAATTCCCAAACCTTAGATCTATGAAACGAAGATTGGATGCACGGATCTGGAAAACAGAAAACTAAGGATGCGTATTTCGGAATCAAGAATGATGATGAAGCGATCAGGAATCAAGACAAAAAGTTCGCACAGGGTATCAGTCCAAAAAACAGTGGCAGAAATCAACTGGTGTGTGAACAGTGTATATTCAAGAAGATGATTTGGGTTAAAAATAGAATCATTGAAGCAAACAAGTTTCAAATATTATGGTTGGAATACAAATGCAAGATGAAATATCAGAAAATATTGGACAAGGATTGCAAAGACCAGAACGTTAAGTTCAATAAGGTAAAACAGAAACTGAAAACTAGGGAGGAATAGTAGCTTACCAGAATTAAGGGAAGGCCAGTGTGGGGTTCGCCGAGTAGACGAAACAGTAGCAGCAGAGAAGAATAGCAAGGTCTCGTCGAGAGGAGAACACAGTGGTAGCCAACAGCTTGAAAGATTGGAACAATGGAGGAGATGGAAAGCTAAGGAGAGAGAACTCTCAGAAACAATGAAAAGTGAAAAGACGGGGGAAAGAAAGAAGTTTTGATTAAAAACAGAAACGGCGGAAAAGGGTCATAAACTGTGCCTAGAAGAACATATGCGCCAACAGCGCACGTGAGAAAGGTATTGATTTATAGACGCGTATCAGGGTACGATTCCTTAGAGGAGAAAGACACGTGGCTTAAAAAATGGTTGAGTTGTTATTGCATGACAGCTCATGGGCATGAAAGAGCATTTGGAAGTCTTTCGATCTTTAAGAAACATGTCGGCCGAGATTAGTGATCTCGGATAAAGGACACTTAAGCTGATGTATTATTTGCAAGTACTGATATAGGTTCATCACCTTAGAATGCCGAGGTAATAGAACCTTACGGGGGCAGATTGTGGGGATATATTTGTCTAGTACCAAAACACGTGGCAAGGTGACGCCGGACGTGTCAGCGAGGTGCCACAGTGCCTGGTCATGACGGCCGAGGTAATCTCGGCTAAGGCCGAGGTTCCTCCGAAGATATACGGAATCTCGAGATAAGGCGATAAGGGGCACAAAGTGCTAGAAAAGGAGGAAGACTACAGTTGAAGGATTAGACTTAGTGGAGGACCTCGTCTAGCAGAGTTTATCTATTAATGGAGTTCCGGATAGCAAGTAATCCATTGAACTAGGCTCTAGGTTGGGACAAGGATTTAAGTTACTATAAAAGAGAGGCAACCCCATGGGTCTTATGCATTATCATTTATCTGAACTAGTGAGATTCTGCACTATGATTCAGTCTTTGAGAATATACTGAGCTGTCACTTTAGATATCTGCGTTCGGAGTACTCCCGGGTGGACCGAACCACCGCTGGAAATCTTCCTTTTTATGTTGCAGGTTAGCAGGTGTATCTATTCTGCAGTTGTCTCCAGCTGATTACTAGTTGGTAGTGTTGATCGAAGAAATCACTTCACACATAGGAAAATAAGTGTCACTTTTTTAGTTTACCCCAAAACTGCTAAATCTTTGGAACTTGACAGAGAATCATAAAAACCATTAATTCGGTGTGGATTCTTACCATTCTAAATATGTAACAATAAATTGATATATATTTACTGTTGGGTAAATAAAACTTAATTGATAATTTAATTTGGTTAAATTGTTAATATTTGTCAATTCACAATTAAGGGTTGTTTGGCAACAAACATATTTTAGCCAAAAAGTCAAAAATGTCTATTTTATAAAAAAAGTTCAACATTATTTCTTATTTATTTACACCTCTTTTTAAAAAAATTAAAAACTAACTAAAATTTAGTCAAATTTCAAACAAAGCTGAGACTAATATTTCAAATATGAGAAACTTTTTATATATTTTTTTAACATATATAAAAAAATTAAAAATATAATATATCACAAGTTCGAATGGTAACCAAGTTTCTTAGAATAAAATTAGATTAATTTTGAACGATTACACCATTTTCAAATTACACCATAGACAGGATAGATCTACTAGTTTTCATCATTTTTTAATGACAACTATAGTACTTACTATCATTAATTTAACTTAATATTATCTCGGATAAAAAAGAAGGATTTGTTTTTCAGCTCCTCGGCAAAAATACCCCAGCAATACCGTTTTCACAAAACGTTTTCTTTTTTATTGTTTTTGTTTTTTTTTTTCTTTTTTTAAGGAACATCCAACTTCATTACATACATATATATATATACTATATGGGATTTTTATTGATAAATCATTCTACGAGTTGTTTATAACCATTAGGTCCACTAAGAACTTATATAACCTAATTGTCCCATAAACTTTTTTGAATATTCCATAAGGATCCATTTTTATCTTAATTTAATATTAATTTCTTGGATATTTGGCCCTATATATATATATATATATATGTACAGTATGTTAATAGTAAGTGCCTGTTCTTCGCTTCATGCGTTTTGCTATTTCTATTTTACGCTTTTCATCATCAATCCAATTCCGAAGATCGTTTATGTTTTGCATTTGCTCGTTGCAGGATTGGTTGTGTTGCCAGGGTTTCATCCTTGCTGTTTGGAGTCTGGTTCTGTTGGTTTTGCGAGTGAAGACGACGAAGAGGAGGGTTTCGGTTTGCTTACATTTGCCGGATTATAACTAGTTCAAATCAGTTTTTTCAACTTTCTGTACGATGGCTAGGATTAGGCATGATCACGCGTTAGTATCAATTTGGTTATGGAATACATGTTCCAGTTTATGTGGTTTCATTCGTATAATGGATCAGATTGCTCTTGTTTTTGGATTATATATGGACTTGAATGCTCTGTTTTTTTCATTATATGCATTTACGTGGTTAGGTGGAGGCGGGGTTCAATTCGTGATTATATGAAGATTGCTGTAGTCTCCATTTGACTTCGATGCATGAGTTAATGAGGCTCTGTGTGATGTTTGATTATCAGTATATAATTCAATGTGAATCTGCACATTTTGTGAATGTGGAATATGTGAAGAATTGTGGATGTTCTCATTTTAAATTGATGTTTTTGGCTTTTAATGAGGCTCTGTGAAGATGTTAAATATTATGTGAGATTGTTAATGTTCTCATTTTACTTTTGATGCTTGCTTAATAGTTAACATCTTGTTAATATCATGTGAATGTTTTACATCATCATAAACTGATGCTGAATGTTCACATCAATTATGCACTGTTAATTGTTTACATTCATCATACACTATTGTGAATGTTCACATCATTTATATTATTGTGAAGATTGTGATGTTGTCATTGGGACTTTGGATGTTTTGCTAATGTTGACATCTTGTTAAATAGTATGTTGAATGTTCCACATCTTCATCTTGTGAATTATGGATTTTAGCAGTGAATGTACACAGTAGTCATCTATTTGTTGCACAATGTGAATTTTCATATCGATTTTCATTACTGTTCATTGTTGTGTTTTTGTGTTTTACAGAGATGGATACCTTTATGCTATTTGGTGTGTACTATGGTTGTAGTACAAACATGATAATTAATGTTCGCCGCGCAATGTGTTATTCTCGTTTGGTGGAGTGTTTGTGTGAGAAATCGGGATGAGTTGTCTGCTGGTTCATATTTCATTGTTCTTGTAAATTACCTGTTGGATTAATAAGTGTGATTTGGACAATGAGGAAGAATTTCAGAACATGGTACTGCTTGCTAAATCAATGGGGGTACAACATGTAGAAGTTGTGGTTGAGTTGAAGGGTGATATTGGTCAGTCAAGTAGTTTGGGATTGCTGCGTGTGGGGGTTGAGGATGAAATTGATGCACTACGGAGATTTTGCCACCATAAGGAGAAGGTGTTGTTGTCAGCCCCTTGGGCAAATGGTATTACGCATGTAGGACAACGGTTTGTTGGAGGTGCACAAGAATTTCGTGACGTTTTATGTAAGTATGCGATCCAATGTGGGTTTAAGTTCACATACGTGAAGAACGAGACAACAAGAGTTACGGCTGTGTGTGCGATGCGGGAGGAGAGGGGGTGCTTGTGGGCTATACATTGTAGAGCACAACGAGCAAATGATTTTTTCTACATCAAGAGGTTTAGTGATGTGCATACTTGTGGTACGGATGTTCGAACATCGAAGAATCCGCGAGTTAGTTCGGATTTGGTGTCGAGTACCATATCTGAAATTGTGAGGGACAAGCCGTTGACTCGGCCGTGTGAAGTGGTGACTATTTTGAAGAGGGATTATGGGCTAGATGTGAGTTACCATGTTGTATGGTTGGGTGTGGAGAAAGCAAAGGCTGGTATCCATGGAGATCACTCGTTATCGTTTGACCAGTTGCGGTGGTATTCGGATGCTGTGATGCGGTACAATCCGGGGAGTTATGTCAATATTGACTATGATGCGAGTAGTCAACAGTTTTGTCGCTTCTTTGTGTCATTCGCTGCGTGTATTTCTGGGTTCAATGCTTGTCGGCCTTTATTATTCCTGGATGGAACATTCCTCAAAGGAAAGTACAAAGGTCAGCTACTTGCGGCAACGGCGAAAGACGGGAACAATGGTTAGAAGTTTTTTTTACCTGTCTATTCATGTCAATATTCGCTCTGAGCAGCATAGTCTGGACGAAAGAGTGATTGCTAAATTATAAGTAATGTGAACATTCACATCAGTGACATTAGTATGCACTGATGTGAATGTTCACACCTTTGTATGCTAATGACAGAAATGTTAACATCAGACTGATGTGAATGTTCACATCAGACTTATTACAGACTTATGTGAATGTTGACATCAGTGTATACTAATGTTAGTTGATCTATTAATGAACAGTACTGTGAATGTTAACATTTTCAGTGACTCAACAAGCAACAATGAATTATTAATGGTCGTTAATGTGAATGTTCACATCGTTGATGTTTACGAACCTGAATCCAAAAACAGCAATAGTAAAGAGGGCAATGTACATATGAACATTCACATGACCTGTTTTGTTTATACTATTTTTCTATTCACTTTGGAATATTGTGAACAGTTGTGTATTGGTGTTGTGTTGTAGGTCTGTTTCCTGTTGCATTTGCAATTGTTGATTCGGAGACCACGGCTAATTGGTCGTGGTTCTTGCATGAACTTGGGAAGGTTGTTGATGGGAAGCGCCATATTACTTTTATTTCGGATCGTAATCTTGGTCTGTTAGAAGCTATGCCAAAGGTGTTCCCATCGGCTCATCACGGTTATTGCTTACAACACTTGAAGAGCAATTTAAGAGACCGGATGAAAGGAATTGATAATGGATTCAGGGATCACCTAGTAAGGAGTTTGGGTGACTGTGCCTACGAGCCAACTGTGGTAGGGTTCTATGAAAAGCTTGCAAAATTAAAAGAGGAGGGTAAACAACGAGCTCATAATTTTTTCAAGGACTTAGCACCTGAGCATTGGGCAAATTCATACTTCAGGTAATAATAGTTTCCTAAGGTGTTCCATTTTTGAAGTTTAGAATGGTAGTGATGTGAATTTTCAGTTTATAATGGTGATAATCTTCGAATTGTGTTTCATCATCAATGTAAATGATGTGAATGTTCACATCTGCTAATGATGACTGATGTCATGTTCACATCTGTTAATTTGTCAAATAGTCATGCAATGTATTACAGATTTGAATGTTGACACGTGTCATATTTTGTTGTTGTTGTTAACATTCACATCTGTCTATCATTTAAGTTGACAACGTAATAAGCATATAATGTGAACATTCACATTATTAAAACCTGGTAGCAGATGTGAACATTCACATTATTATACCCTGATGTGAATGTTCACATCAGTGTATACCAATGGCAGTACTGTGAACGTTCACATTTGTCAACATTAATGGTCAGGCCTGTTAAATTCCGTATTGTACAATGTTTGTGATATAGATGTCACAATGTGAATGTTTACATTACACTCCATCACAGTATTGAGTGAAGTTTGGGGATTCTGACATTAATGTGAACATTCACATTCACACCAGTCTGTACTATTCATGTTCACTTCTCCAGGAACAGCTGTTTGATCAGGCTTGGTTTTGAAACGAGATTCCCCTCGCTTTTGCCATCAACTTTATGGGAAAGACCTGTGTGTTCAAATGAGCACATGTAATTGGTTGAAACACAGAGGATGGAACCCGAAGCACCAAACAACATTCAACAACCAGCATTGACAGTAATTGGAACATTCACATCATTATACAGTGATGTGAATGTTCACATCAGTGTTTATTACTGTAAGTTTACACAGTAATCAATACTAATGTGAATGTTCACATTTTGAGAAATAAATTTCGAACACGACAACAGTTACTGGGCAATGTGAATGCTTACATGGGTGATCACATTATGTTACAATTTTCTAAAATTCAAAGGGGGGAACCAACAGCGCCAAACTACACCCAATAACACAAACAACTTGGGCATTGATGTCACAATGTGAATGTTTACATCATACTCCATCACAGTACTGAGTGAAGTTTGGGGATTCTGACATTAATGTGAACATTCACATGATGTGAATGTTCACATCAGTCTGTACTACTCTAAATTTACCCAGTAATCAATAGTAATGTGAATGTTCCCATCATCCATGTTTGAGAAATAAATTTCGAACACGACAACAGTTACTGGGCAATGTGAATGCTTATATGGGTGATCACATTATGTTACAATTTGCAAAAAATCAAAGGGGGGAACCAACAGTGCCAAACTACACCCAATAACACAAACAACTTGGGCATTGATGTCACAATATGAATGTTTACATCATACTCCATCACAGTATTGAGTGAAGTTTGGGGATTCTGACATTAATGTGAACATTCACATGATGTGAATGTTCACATCAGTCTGTACTACTCTAAATTTACCCAGTAATCAATAGTAATGTGAATGTTCACATCATCCATGTTTGAGAAATAAATTTCGAACACGACAACAGTTACTGGGCAATGTGAATGCTTACATGGGTGATCACATTATGTTACAATTTGCTAAAAATCAAAGGGGGAAACCAACAGCGCCAAACTACACCCAATAACACAAACAACTTGGGCATTGATGTCACAATGCGAATGTTTACATCATACTCCATCACAGTATTGAGTGAAGTTTGGGGATTTTGACATTAATGTGAACATTCACATGATGTAAATGTTCACATCAGTCTGTACTACTATAAATTTACCCAGTAATCAATAGTAATGTGAATGTTCACATCATCCATGTTTGAGAAATAAATTTCGAACACGACAACAGTTACTGGGCAATGTGAATGCTTACATGGGTGATCACATTATGTTACAATTTGCTAAAAATCAAATTGGGGAACCAACAGCGCCAAACTACACTCAATAATACAAAAAACTTGGGCATTGATGTCATAATGTGAATGTTTACATCATACTCCATCACAGTATTGAGTGAAGTTTGGGGATTCTGACATTAATGTGAATATTCACATGATGTGAATGTTCACATCAGTCTGTACTACTCTAAATTTACCCAGTAATCAATAGTAATGTGAATGTTCACATCATCCATGTTTGATAAATAAATTTCAAACACGACAACAGTTACTGGGCAATGTGAATGCTTACATGGGTGATCACATTATGTTACAATTTGCTAAAAATCAAAGGGGGGAACCAACAGCGCCAAACTACACCCAATAACACAAACAATTTGGGCATTAATGTCACAATGTGAATGTTTACATCATACTCCATCACAGTATTGTGTGAAGTTTGGAGATTCTGACATTAATGTGAATATTCACATGATGTGAATGTTCACATCAGTCTGTACTACTCTAAATTTACCCAGTAATCAATAGTAATGTGAATGTTCACATCATCCATGTTTGAGAAATAAATTTCGAACACGACAACAGTTACTGGGCAATGTGAATGCTTACATGGGCGATCACATTATGTTACAATTTGCTAAAATTCAAAGGGGGGAACCAACAGCGCCAAACTACACCCAATAACACAAACAACTAGGGCATTGATGTCACAATGTGAATGTTTACATCATACTCCATCACAGTATTGAGTGAAGTTTGGGGATTCTGACATTAATGTGAACATTCACATGATGTGAATGTTCACATCAGTCTGCACTACTCTAAATTTACCCAGTAATCAATAGTAATGTGAATGTTCACATCATCCATGTTTGAGAAATAAACGTACTACTGTAAGTTTAGCGAGTAATCAACACTAATGTGAATGTTCACATCATATATTTTTACAAAATTAATTCCGAAAACATCTATGTTTACAAATTCAAATCCGAAAACCAGAAGGTGTATGTATACATCAATGATGACATTATGATTGAGAAGCAGAAGGTGGAATGGTATTCCTTACTTTTGTTCGTCATGGTTGGTGGGTATGGATCACACTCAGTGGATAAAATAAACTCAATGGGGCGACAAGAATCTTCGAACGATGAAGCACCCTCCTTCCGATGTGAAGCTTCGCAGTGGTGAGACGAAGAGGAATCTAGGGTTACTGGAGGCAATATCAGTATCGTTTCGTCGATTGAGTTTTTGTTTTGGAAATTTTGTGGATTGAATATTTCGAATAGGAATGGGTTTTTGCAGAATCGGTTTCACGCGGGAGAGGCGGAGAGGGTTATTTCGTCCTTTAACAATTAATGGACCTAATGGAATATTCAGAAACAGTTTGGGTTTTATGGAACAAAACAGTTATAAATAGGACTTATCAAAAAATGGCCCTATATATATATATATATTGTTGGACCATTTTAATATCTTTTATTTATTTATTTATATATTTTTGTTCATGAATCTTCTTTTGTTTGAGTCATGAATTTTATCTTGTTTATAAATGAAAGTTAATTAGAATTCATGAATTTGGTGGTGAGTTATTATTTGGAGTCTCTCCATTTTCTCTTTATTATTTAGAGTCTCTCCATTTTCTCTTGTTTAATGATCATCTTAATTTTTAGTGTAGTTTGTAAGGTTCTGATGGCCTATAAATAGTCCCTCTCATCTACTCTTTTCTACATTAACACACCAATTATTTTCTATACAAGAGAGATTTTTAGCAAAGAATTGTGTTTTTTCTTGTTGGAGCTTTGGGTTCACCATCTTGTACAGTGTTGGTCTGAACCATACGACAAGTGGTTGGGCTGTTGTATCCTGAAGGGGAGAAGTCATAGTTTTGTGTCTGCTGTATCGGTATTTGGATTCTTCCTACCGCAGTGAGCTTGATCTCCTTAAAGAAAACGAGATATCCGTGCCTCAGCCTGATCTATTTGTTTCTCATTTTCTTTGCAACATTTATCAATAAAAAATAATTTTTTCTGGTATTTTCACCAATAATTTTAAGGAGATCAAATATGAAACAAGTGCTAGAAAAAACCAATGATGGAATTGGAGATCTCAACAAGCCTTTCAAGTTTAAGGGAGTTTATTTTAAGAGGTGGAAAGGAAAAAGTTCTTTTTTACCTCAGTCTTTTGAAAGTGGCATATGTTCTTACCGAGAAGAACCCAATCAAAATCCCAACCGAGGAGATGAATGATGAAGACTACGAGGCACATGAAGCAAAAGTGGTTTCCTATAATACAGATGAGTATAAATGTTGCTTTTATCTCTTAAATTGCCTTGCTGATCAATTTTATGATTACTATGACACCACTTACACTTCTACAAAGAAAATTTGGAAAGCTTTACAGACTAAGTATGATATTGAAGAGGCAGGAGCAAAAAAGTATGCAGCTAGTCACTTTTTTTGCTACCAAATGGTGGATGGAAAATCTGTTGTGGAGCAAGCACAAGATTTCCAAATGATAGCTGTAGAAGTAAGATCTAAAGGCATCAAGATTGGTGACAACTTGGTAGTTGCAAGACTTGTTGACATGCTACCGCCATCTTGGAGATAATTCCAAAAGAGCATACGTCACAAACAAAAGGAGACTTCCTTAGAGGCGTTGATCACTCGCATTCGAGTCGAAGAGGAGGCTAGAGGCCAAGATGCATTAATAACACAAGTGGGTAATGACAATTCTACCACAAAGGTAAACTTTGTTTTAACAAATAATAACTTACCCAAAGGTCACAATTCCAAGAATGCTTATTTGAAACCTTATAAAAAGAATATGAAGAATTATGGTAAATCTCACAATAAATGGATTAATCCAAATAAGAACCAAGGTCCATCACCTTTACAAAATTTTACATGCTTTGTCTGTGGCAAAAGTAGGCATATTGCTCGAACTTGCAAATTTCGAAAACGTACACCTTCTCCAAAGGCTAACGTTATCGAGGAGCCATTTGTGGCGATGATTACATACATTTGCATGGTTAATTATGTGGTTGGTTAGTGGGCAGATTCTGGTGCCAATAGACATGTTTGTTATGATCAAGCATGGTTCAAGGTGTATACTCCCTTTGATGATGAGAAAACAATTATACTAGGTGACTCTAGTCAAATCAAGATACTTGGGAGTGGTGAGGTTGACTTTAAGTTCACCTCTGGACGTGTGCTTACTTTAAAAGATGTGCTTTATACACCGTCCATGAGGAAGAATTTGATGTTAAGTTATTTGTTAAATAAGGCTGGTTTTAAGCAAACTATGGAATTTGATCAATATGTGATTACCAAGAAGAGTTATTTTGTGGGTAAGGGTTATGCTTGTGATGGGATGTTCAAATTGAATGTTGAGATTAATAAACCATTTACCAATTCGGTTTACATGTAGTCTTCTATTAATTTTTGGCATGCTCACTTGTATCATATTAACAGCAAATATGTGGGAATCATGAGTAGTTTAAGATTAATTCCTAAAGTGACAAAAAAGTTTGAGAAATATGAAGTTTGCAGTAAAGAAAAAATTACCAAGAGGCCTCATAAAAGTGTTGAAAAAAATACCGAATTGCTAGAATTGTTTCATATTGATTTGTGTGAGTTTGAAGGAATTTTAACTCGAGGTGGTAACCGATATTTTATCAGTTTTATTGATGATTTTTCAAAATACACAAACGTATATTTATTAAAAAATAAAAGTGATGCTTTTGAGAAATTTAAAGAATTCCTTCTTGAAGTGGAAAATCAATTCGGTAAATAGATTAAGAGAATTAGAAGTGATAGAGGCCGGGAGTATGAATCTCTTGGATTCAACTCTTTTGTTTAGTCATTGGGAATTATTCATGAGACTACTCCACCATATTCACCTTCATCTAATGGCGTAGCTGAAAGAAAA